GATAAATATATATATATTTTTTTAATTATAAAATTAAATTCTTTTATAGTGAATAAGTTTTTGGCAGTAAATAAATTAAGTTCTCTCAGATAATGTGATTTAAATATAGAAACAAATTGACACGTTCATTGTTTAATCTTAATAATGAATAATCACGCGATGTTTTTAATAAAATAATTTTAAAATTTCATAAAATAATAATAATTTTTTATAAATTAGGGTTTTAAAAATATCTCTTGACGTTATTAAATGTGTTTGCTTTCGATTTTACTCTCACATTGCACTTTATACTTTTTTAAATAAATTATTTATATGTTTAAATTTTTAAAATATTTTTAATGGTAATTGGATGATTTTCTATGATATAAACGTTTTCGTATTTCTTATAGTAATTTAAATAAAAAAATAATTTTTAAATCTTTAAAATTTGCAGCCAACTAGAAGACGAACTTGACGTTGCTCGGACAAGAAATAACAGCAGCAAAGATTAAGATTATCAAATTATTTTGTACTTCTTATCCTTCTAGTATATTATATTATAGTATGTGCTTTATTATCTTAGATTATCTTTGTGAGAGTTTATACCACCGAGTGACCTATTTAACACATTGTAAATTTTTTAAATTGTGTACAGCAGAAAAAAAAACAATTTTTGAAATGTTAGATTGGACACTCGATATGATAACCTCTTATGTAACATAACCTTTATAGGTACTGTATATAGCCGATCTTATCCAATTTCACCGGGTGCAAGAATTAGGTTTTCCTCTTCCGGGACTAATTAGAGAATTTTTAGATGAGTCTAAAAATATGTTTGATTTTCCGCAAAAAACACGAAAGATCGCCAGTAAAATAGTAGTGGAAGCCGAGTTCTTCAGGATAAGCCTTAATTTCCTCTCTCTTTATCGCATCGAAAATTTCCAAAAACCCTTCTTAGTTTACATTTTTTGCCGTACCCTAGCTGTGCACCCAATTTCAACTTTTAACTCCTAACGATTTGGGCTCTGCGCTTGTTATTATTATTCTTTTTTTTTCTTCTTAGCGTTGTCTCACAGATGTAGGGTCCGCTATTCGGATCTTCGAACGCCACTTTGTTCGATCGAGTGCGTCGTCTGGGTTCGGGTGCAGAGCCCTCGGGGCTGCATTGATAGCATCTTGCCATCGTTGCTTCGGAAATTTAACGAAATTTCGAATATAGTTAATGTTGGTTTTAGTAAATTATCTTATTATTATTATTATTATGTTGGGTTTAGTGGTTATACTCGGTTCACACCGGTGGCTGTGTACTATGCCGGAGCAGATTCGACGCATGGCAACTAAAACTAAAATTAAATAAGTGTGTCAGTGTCTGTGTCTGTATTCAGGAATTTCCTAACAATATGATATGTATTCAACATAGTGGCCTTCTGTAATGTGATGTATGTATTTCTACTCAATTGTAATGTTCCCAGGCTTTTGTGTAGTGTGTGTGTGGTATCACTTCTGTACAGGAGAGAACGACAGGTACAATAAGCACTCTTTCGATCCTCTACAGATGCCTTATTTCTTGGGCAAGTTCTGTATACTTGCTAATTTTTTCAGTGAATGTGTTTTGTACATTGTGAGTGTTTGAAATGGTTATGTCTATAATGTACGTGATTTAATTGTGTTGTCAATGAGTGTAATGTCTGGTCTATTGTGGTAAATTGTTTTATCTGTGATTATGGTTCTGTCGTAGTACATTTTGTCGTGTTGTTTTCCAATACTGTCTGTGGAATGTATTTGTAGTATGGTTCGTGGATGTCTAATAATTTGTATTTCTTTGCAAGCTCTTGGTGTATTATATTTGCTACTAGATTATGATTGTGTAAATAATCTGTCTGCGCCAAGATCTTGCAACCAGAAGTGATATGTTTTATAGTTTCTGGCATGATGTGGCATTTTCTGCATGTGTCATTTGTGAGTGTTGTATCTTTGAGTGTGTGTTTTGTGTAGTATTTAGTATTTATGACCTGATCCTGTATGTCAATCATGAATCCTTTCGTCTCCCCAAAGAGACATCCCCGATCTAACCAGCTGTTTGACGTAGTTTATTCAACAAAATCCTGGGCCAGATCATAAGGATGATTGCATGGAGTGTTTTTTTGAGCCCACGATTGCTTGATGGTGTCCATGTTTTTATATGTTGTGTCATGTCTGTATGATGTGAGTGTAAGTTTAATGGTGTGTTATTTGATTCTGCTAGAGTTACTACTTTATGTAATTATGATGTTTCTTGTTTCCTGTAGAAAAACTCTCGCAGTGACTGTATTTGTTTGTAGTGAAGGTTAATTATGTCTATCAAGCCGTGTCCGCCATCTTTACGTGGAAGGGTTAATCTCTCTGTGGCGGATTTAGGGTGATGTTGTTTATGCTTAGTAAGCGTTATTCTTGTTTTCCTTTGGAGTTGCTCGAGATCTGTGTGAGTCCAATGTATAACGCCAAAAGAGTGTGTGAGTACTGGGATGACATGTGTTTATTGCTTTAACTGTGTGTTTTGCATTTAACTGTTTTCTGAGGATAGCAATTAACCTACTTTGGTATTCTTTAATTAATCTTTGCTTTATTTGTGTATGATCTGTTAGTTTGGCCTGTTGGAATCCTAAATACTTGTAGAACTCGCCCTCTTCCATGGATTCAATAACATCCCCATTTCCAAGTGCAAAATCTTTCTTCAGGATTCCTTTTTCTATGTGAAGTGTTTTGCATTTGTCTAGGCCAAACTCCATTTGTATGTCCTTAGTGTATGAATGTGTGATTTGTAGGAGTTGATGAAGTTGTTTTTGTGTGGATGCATAAAGTTTTATGTCGTCCATGTACATAAGATATGATAGAGCAAACTGTGTGGTTTTTCGTGTCTGATATTGTAGCCATATTGCGTGTTGTTTAACATGTTGGATTATAGGTTCAGGGCTAAGCAGAACCAGAGAGGACTCAAGGAATCTCCTTGAAAAATTCCTCGCCTAATGAATTTTTGGTTTGTTTGTATAGAAGTGTTACTAACTCTGAGATGTAGTGTTGTTCTCCTGTGCTGCAAAGTGTTTTGGAAGAATGCGATGAGTGATGGATGTATTTTGTACATGTATAGAAAATGTCGCAGCCAACTGGGTGGAATGCTGTCGAATGCTTTTCTGTAGTCTATATATGCCATGTGTATGTTTCTGTGTTGTTTGTCTGCTTTCCGTAAAATGACCGAATCTATGAGT